CGAGGAGATGATGAAAGAGGCCGCCAGAGAAGCCAGGGGGAAGCTCTTTGTCTCGGTTCCCGAGGCCTCAGAGACGCCCTTGCTCGCCGCGAGAGGTATCGCGCGAGCTGTGTGGTGGCGAGATGCATCTTTGGCTTCGCGGACATCGACGCTTCGCGGCGTGCGATCGACGCTGCGCGAGCGGCCGGCAAGACTGTCGAGCTGGCCCGCCCACCTTCGTTCCAACTGTGGACGGAAGGGTGCGACGTCTGGTTCTGGAAAATGAACGTGATGCTGCTGCGCGTGCATCTGCTGCCTCTGCCTCTCGTTCGCCCTCATCCCAATCGTGTTCGTCTGGCATCATTCGGGCCGTGGAGAGACAGGCAGCTATCTGGGCCTTCTTCCCTAACGTGCTCTCGTTGGCCTCCGTGGCGAGCCCCGGGGGCCCTGTCCAGAGGATAGCTGGGAAGTCCTTCGGCAGTGCTGAGGGCCAGTCTTCTTGATTGTAGTGGCCTCTGGCCAGTGCCGCCGATCCGGGGCGCCCCGGGTGCATGTGGAAATGAACGACGACGAGGAAGACGAAAACGACGACGAACGCGAATACGTCGACGACGACGACGACGAGAGCGACGACGACAACGACCATGACGACGACGACGACGACGGCGATGACGACGACGGCGACGCGAGCGACGACGACGACGACGACGACGATGACGCGAGCGACGACGACGACGACGACGACGACGACGACGACGACGACGACGACGACGACGACGACGACGACGACGACGACGACGACGACGACGACGACGACGACGACGACGACGACGACGACGACGACGACGACGGGGGGGGAGCTGGGTTGCAGGGGGGGGGTCTGCTCTGCAGGGGGGGTCCGCTCGGCAGAGGGAGGGGCTGCAGGGGAGAGGGGGGGTCCGCTCTGCAGGGGGGGGGGGCTGCAGGAGGGGGTGTGTGCTCTGCAGGAGGGGGGGGGTGCAGGGGAGGGGGGGGGGGTGCTCTGCAGGGGGGGGGCTGCACGGGGGGGGGTCCGCTCTGCAGGGGGGGGGGGGGCTGGGCAGGGGGGGGGGGGGTCCGCTCTGCAGGGGGAGGGGGTGCAGGAGGGGGGGTCTGCTCTGCAGGGGGGGGGGGTGCTAACGTGCTCTCGTTGGCCTCCGTGGCGAGCCCCGGGGGCCCTGTCCAGAGGATAGCCGGGAAGTCCTTCGGCAGTGCTGGGGGCCAGTCTTCTTGATTAAGCCTCCTACTGAGCAGGCTGCGGCAGCGTATTCAGCTAGGTTTCTGAAGTCGGCCAAAGACATTGCGGTGCCCATCCCCGTCGCCCTCTTGTTCCGGCAGGTCATCAGAGAAGCGAGACACTCGACGCCTGGAGTGAGCAGGATCCCGTGCTGTGCTTGGGGAGTTCCGGAGTTTGGGCGCTGCTTGCTGGCGTCTACTGTTAGTTGAATATGTTAGGGGCAGGCGCTATTCGGCGCAGCTAGCGTGACCCTCCGGGCCTTTCGCACCAATTGGTCGGAAGTGAATTGCTCCTATTCTGGGTCCTGTCAGTTTCTCCCTGATCGAGTAAGAGTGCTCGGCCTCAAGAATACCGACATGGAGATTCCGAGCGCTGAAGCGAATCTTATTCTCATGCCTGTTGTTGGCTATGTGGTCCCCCGGTCGCAGTGGGGCTTCGCCGCGGGGCGCAATTTTGAATGCGATATCCTGGAGCTCGACGCTCGTGCGCGGTCGGCGTCCCGCGAGCGCCCGTCATGATCGGGTTCGACTATGGGCAGGCCTCAGCCCCTGGGCTCCATGGGCATCCCTGAGGCCATTTTCATGTTCATTGCAGTTATGTGCGAAGCTGCGGTGGGCGTGGTCGCTGACGGTGGCTGCCCCCTGCGCATCTTCTGGATCCGCTCTGGTATCATCCAGGGCCGCGGTGGTTCATTGCGCGCTCTCTCCTCGGCGCCGATGCTGCAGGATCTGGGGGGCAATCTAGCGGCGAAGGGGGGTGGGCTGGGTCGTGCCCGCATTGGCGATTTGTGGGTGGTCCTGTATGAGTTCGGTTATTTTATCAGGATCGCAGCAAAGGTGCTCTGGGTCATGAAGGTGATCGCCTTGGTTCCTCTGTGTGGCCCATATTTCAGGCGAGATTATCTTGCGGGTGCGCAGCCTTTTCCTGCGGGGTGTTCCAGAATGTGTGGGCTTTGTGATCGGTGATGTTCGACTGTGCCTAGGTCTATGGCTCGGGTCTGGTGGCTTGCAGGAGCGATGTTTGCGAGGCCCATTGGCCAAAGTTCGCCGGCGCGCCCGCGTGCTCGGGCGCGGTGGCCCGCCAGCTCGAATGCGATGCTGTGCCATGCTCGCGTGAACTTGGTGTTATCCTTTGTTTCTCAGTTTGTTCCGGTGTCGTGTGCTTTTCTGTTTTGTCGGCGTGTTGTGATCGCGCAGGTGATGCGTTGTCCATTTGGCGTGCTTTCGAATGAAGCTATCCCAGGGCTCAAGAATTGGGGCGGACCTGCTTTGCCCTTATGGCCAGTGCATGGAGCGGCGGCCTTCTAATTGCGGGCAGCCGCTACCGCGTTCGCGGAGCATGGAAGGCATCTCACCACGATGTGCGAGAAGGCCAAGCAGTGGCAGAGGGATGTGCGTGATGGCCGATTTGACGAGCTGCCTCTCCTCGCCCGTGATCAAGATCGCTTGTGCGCGCGGTGCTGTAAAGCGCCTGCCCTTGTTGAGAATCTTGGTTGCGTGAGTCGCCAGGCGGCAGATGTTTGGATCGGTGGAGTTCGCGATGCAATCGTGGCTGAACTGAGCTGTGGGGCGGCCAAGGCCTCAAAGAGCTGCCGCTGTCTTCCTTAGTCAACGACCTTGCGGAGGCAGGTGCGTCGCCTGCAGCTGTTCTGAAACATCTGGCATCGATATTGGGCGACATCGCCCCGCACCTGTGCCTGGTCCGTCGGGATGCTCTGCGACATATGTTCCATCTCGCCCCGCAGAGTTGGTCCTTGGCGATGATTCGTACGTTGCACAATGGATGGCTCACCTCTTACCGGATGCTGCACGAGCGGGGGGGGGGGGGGGGGGGGGGGGGGGGGGGGGGGGCGGGGGCTTCCTGTCGGTTCGTGCGTGAGGCGGAGGATCGATTCTCGCATTATCTTCAATGTCCGACGTTGCTGGCGGCGGTGGGGGCAGGACATGGCAGAACTCTACATTCCTCTCTTCCGAGGCGGTTGACTCTGGTTCAGCCGCGCGATGAGCACATCGTGCCCCCGAGGATGCTGAGATCGTTGGTCGCACGTGCTGTCCGATCGCTACGTCTTGCGAAGCCGGCCCGTGCACTTGCCGCCTGGGTGCCTCCTGAACCAGTGATGGTGAGAGCAATGCAACGCGGGTGCCCCTCTTCCTCGCGCTCGTCACTGACCCGCCTAGCCTGCTCGAGTACCTCCTCCGCATCTGGATTGGCAGCTGGGTCGACCTCTCAGCGATCGCCTGGGCTGACCCCCGAACTCATCCCGTCTCCGACTCCTGGCGCGCTCATTGCGACGCCCCCGAGAACCGCGAGAATGATGCCCGAGGGGCCGACCGACGTGTGCAGGAGCACACGTCTGTCGGCCCCTCCCAGGTCGTCCTCTTCGATGGCGCCCTCGGCTCCCGTCAGCAGCTGTGAGCCTTCGGACAAAGAGCCTGCTCTGCCCTTTTCCATGCCCACACCTGGGACTTGCCTGGCCCAGCCCATTCCCCTCGCCGATGGCTCCTCCGCGCTCTGCCGCCGTCTGCCCCTCGCCCTGGCTGCTGGCGCTTCCCCGCGCCCTCGCTACTGTCCTGACTCGCCCACCACTGCGACTGGCTTGTCCGCAAGTGGTGCCCACGGCAGTGCTGGTCTGGCCCAGCCAATCGTGCCGCTGGTCCTCGCCCCGCCTCATCCGTCGCTCCTGAGCCCTGCTCTCGCCTCTGCGTTGCATCTCCACTCTGATCCCCACTCCGCCCGGAATGAAACAACGACTGCGCACGTCGGTTCCGTAAAGCACGGGCCGGCGGACTTCGAGGCGCCGACGCGCCGTTTCTGCGACTCGGTGGGCCTCTTTTTGGGATTGGGACTCCTCTCCTACGCTCGTCTCCTCCTCCTCCTCCTCCTCCTCCTTCTCTTCCTCCTCCTCCTCCTCCTGTGCCGCGCTTTGCCCTGGAATCGCTGCCCCTGGCCTGCGGCTGTGGATCTCTCTCTCTATATGTTTGTGTGTGTGTGTATGTATCTATGTAGATCTCGTCGCCATACGCTGGGGAGCGCGATCGTCCGTCTGTGGTCCGTGCGCCCCGCGGCGCTGGGGGGTTGCAGTTGCTCGGGCTGCCCAACCAAATGGCCGCGCCGCGCCGCTGTTGAACCGCCTGGGGCGGGCGGGGGGGGGGGGCGCTGGAAGGGAGGGGGGGGGGCCAGGCAGGAGAGGAGGGGTATGGATCGGGGGGGGGGGACGGGAAGGAGGGAGGAGGGAGAGGGATCGGAGGCCTAGAGGTTGAAACCAACATCGGCGGTTTAATTCGACCGAGCGAAGATATCGATTTCGGTGATGGTGGTAACACTCGGGCTTCCCAGGTGGCCGACAGATCACCGCCAACACCAGCATTCAGGATCATGTTCCCCTGGTGGAAACCCCCTGTGTTGGCGTTGGTGTTCCTTTCCAGACCCTCCAAAGGATGAGGATAGGAAGGGATGGATGAGATGTGGGCCACGGCTGCGACTCAGGGGCCTGTCCTGGAGTCAGCGCGAGCATCGCTCCCGAGAGGTCTGGCGCCGAGAGCTGGAACTTCGGGCGCGCTGGATCGGGGCCCAGGGCGGGCCCTTGCAGGGCGCGAGCCGCAGCCGGAGCCCCAGCTGGAGACCAGATGTGCATCGCAAGTTCTTAGATTTGTTGCGCGAGTGCTCGACACCCGTTGGGCTTGAAATCTCGCCGCGCGCGGAACGTGTGTCACCGACGGGCACGCAGGCCTGGCAGTCCGCCTGGATCTGGCGTGCTCCAGCCGAGGCGCCATCTACCTCGCGTGCCAACACGACTTTGACAGGCCCGTGCAGGGGCCCGAGGCGCACGCAGGCGCGGACGGGGGCGCCAGCTTCGGGCTTCCTGGCTCGCTGTCCACCTGCAGTGCGCACGATCGGCATCTGTCCACCGAGGGGGTATGAATCTAGGCAGGCATATGATAGGCGCCCTCCGTCCATTTGGGGGATTGGCATCTAGATGGACATTTTCTGTTCCTGGCCAGGAGTACCGAGCCTACTCTCCAGCGTCCCTGTCGTAACCGAGTCCAGCAGCTTCCAGAATTCACGCGCGCCTCCGCACTTTTTCGATTTTCCTTGTTCGGAGGAAGGAAGGAAGCGGGTCGATTGAGGGAGCTGCTCGGTCTTTCCCTGAGTTTACCCAAGTGGTTCTTCCATGGTAGTTTGACTGATAGTGTTGTTGCTGTGTGCTTGAATACCCTTCCACGGCCATGGACGCGCTTCTATTCTCCCTACCTGCAGGCCAAAGTTTGAATGTCTTGTGGGTTCCAGAGGTAAACGCAACTTCGAAATGCAGCGTTCATGTTGTCGTGTTGTGGTGAAGCCACAGGGTTCTACTTCCGAGGAAAAGTATTCTTATCATCAGGTGCAATTCCTTGCTGGACATGGGCAGTCAGTTCACCTTCTCCCACGGCGTGGCGCCTCCTTGTGGTCTGGTGGAAGGGGGTGGCCGCTTGCTACCCCAGTCGGAGCCACTGCAGCCGCCACGCTGCCTCCGCGTTGCACACGGCGGGCGCGCTGAGGCGCCTGAGGCGCCCACGCGATTCTTTCGTAGCGTCTGCCGTTCGGCCCGTTGTGCTGCGCGACGTCGTGCCGCTGCCCTCCTGTTGCCGGAACACTGTTGGCCTCTCCCCACCACTCGAGCGTGAGATCGACTACATAATCGATTGACCACACAGTTGTCCGTGTACTTTACGAACAACTCGTACAATCTTCGTAGGCGTACGAACATTTACGTATTTGTCGTAGGTACGCCTACACGCATGAGTTTTGGGGCAAATCGGGTCTGTAATCCATGTCCTACTCGAACGCTGCGGGTCCGCGGCTTCAGGGGCGCGCTCTGGACTCGGCCACGCGCAGAAGGGGGGTCGGGGGAGGGGGGAAGGCTTCTTAGAAGCGCTTCTGCTTCTTAGAATGCGCGGGCCTTGCCTATGGATGTAAGGCTGTCGCCTTCTAAGACGCGGCCTCCTTCTAAGACGCCTTCCCCCCTCACCCTACCCCCTTCTGCGCGTGTCCGCTCGGTGGCAAATCTTGAGAGCCTTGTATGCCCTCTCAAGTCCGTTTTTTAGCGCTGACTGACGTCGATTAGCGTCAGGTACTCGATTGCGTCGCGTCGGTCAGCGTCGATCAGCATCGATTTAGCCTCGATCGACGTCGGCTATAGCGTCGATTTAGCCTCGATCAGCGCAAGTGCGGAAGGGCCGACGAGACTGCGCAGGGGGCTCCCACGAGTTGCCGCCGAGCCTTCCCCCTCCTCCTCGCCCGTCTTCGCCTGCGCACCGCTGGTGGGGGCGCCCCTCGGCCCGTGTGCCCACGTGCGGCACGATCTCTTCGCGTCTCCTCCTGTCTTGGCTCTCGAGCGGCACTTCGCCGACGCCTCTCGCGCGAGCCTGCGCGTTCTTCTGGCACGGCGGCAGGATTTCCAGCAGACCGGTTGGGCGCTTGTGTCAGCTGGCCTTTCGCCCAGATGCCTCTTCTTTCCTTTCCGTCTGTAGTTTGCCCGTCGCATTTCGTCGTTGTCCCTTTCCCCGCCCTCTTCGTAATCTTCCTTTTCTTTGTCTTCGTCTTTTCGCGTGCCACAGTTGCCAAGTGCAGCCGCCCCAGCTTGGCTGCTTTGACCTGCTCATCCTCTTTAGGCTAGCTGTCAGCTTCCAGTCGGTTGCGCCCTGGGAGCATCATGAGTCTTTCGCAAGGCGAAGCACGTGATTGCTTACATTCTTTCCAGAGTGTATCGAGCGAATGTTTGCCAACTTCTTTGGCACTGGCTCAATGTGACAATTTGTCAGATGGCATGCAAGAGAGAGAGAGAGAGTGCGCCAGAAGGTGGTTGGAGCGGCTCGGTCCACGGGTGCGCAAGTTCACAAGTGGTTGAACCAGAAACGTTGGGAATCTGGGCTGGTAGGGAAAGTACGTTTGCAACAATAGTAGTGAACCCATGCACTTCAACCTGGGCTTTGCACATTGCGTGGGCCTCCGAGCCGAAATTTTGTTGAGGCAAATCGCAGAAACTGCGATTCGTTTTTGGAAATCAAGCTTCGGGTGATTCGCATATTTATTCATCAGTTATCGTGTTGCCGAGTCCCTCCTGCCCCTCCGCGTCTCGTCTCCTCGTCCCGTCCTCTGTCTTTCCCATCGCATTCTCTCTTTCCCTCCCCCTTCCCTTCCCCTTTCCCCCTCCCTTTCCCTTCTCTGGCGGCGGCGGCGGCCCGTAAGCGCGGCTGGTTTGATACATATGCTGCCGCCAGCCAGTAATTCCAGACTTGCACTGCACACGTGACCACTCCAATCCCTTTCCCTTGACCGCCTCCATTCTGCTCCCATCTCCCACGAGGGGGAGCATGAGAGGGGAACTGGACTCAAACCCCAAAGCCAACTTTTTTTTCGCAACGTCGACCCCAGAGGTTGAGATCCATTCCCCGGGACCAGCTTTTCATTCTGGCGGTCCCGGGGCCCTGTGAGGGCCTCTGGTCCAGAGGCCGAAAATTGCCAGAAACCTCCTGTCGTGTTCTTTTTCACGACGCGAGGGGGTCTGGGGACGGCCTCAAGTGGTCTCGACCCCTTCCTAGGGATAGGTTTCGCCCCAGATCCGTTTTGGATGGTCCGGGGCCCGATACCGGGCCTCCGAGGTCGAAATCGAGGAACAACGCCCAGACTGTCAGCATCAGACCGCCTGAGATTCGGGGAGCAGGACGGGGGAGGGCCGCACCGGCGCGCGCAGCTGTTGGCCCCGGCGCGCCCTCGGGCGCCAGGCTACGTGCCAGCGTTCCTGAGCACCTGGCGCGGGCTCCAGGAGCACGGGCGCGAGGCAGACCGCCGCGGGGGAGCGGAGGCGTCGTGAGCCCAGGGTCGTCGGCGGCGCGCCCACGGGGAAGGCAGAGGCGACGGGCCTTCGCAGCAGGCTCAGAAGGCCTCTGGCCTTCTGCGAAGCTCTCGCAGCCTTCGCCGAAGACACCGGCGGCTTCACAGAATGGCTGGAGGGCTTCTGAGAAGCCCCACCGCCTTCTGAGAAGGCTCGCTCCCACTCAGGGCTCGAGCCAAGCGGTGTTCTGGCAGTTTCGCGGACCGCTCTCGTCTCGATCTCGCTTTGCAGCAAGGGCGGAGGGAAGGCAGGACGAGGGATAACGAAAACAAAAGGAAAACGGAGAGCACTGTTCAGCTCGAGCCCTGCCCCCTGCGTTTCTGCGTTTCGCGCTCCACGAGCGTACCTCCGCCCGCCGAAGCGCCCGACCGCCGCGGGCGCGGCGGGGCGCACCCAGGGGCGCGCGAACGAGCGAGCGCCGAGCGAGGGCAGGCGGCGGCGGCCCAGGCCAGCGGCGAAGGCAGCAGCAGGCAGGCGGCAGTCAGTGGAAGGGGAGAGAGAGGACAGATACGAATGGGAAGTGGGAGGGCCGAGTGGGGACGATGGGCGGCCGCGGCCGTCAGGCTACACCTCAGCCGGGGCTCTCAGCCGCCCCAGGGCTGTCCAGCACGAGCGCGTTGTGGAGGGCGGAGTCGCGCCCTGTACTCTGCACTCCACGCACGGGGTCCGGCGGGACGTAGAAGTCCTTGACCTCGGGCATCCTCGACATGGTCGTTGCTGCGCAGTCTGGCGAAAGTTGGCCATGCCGGCGCCCTGCCCGCTCTCACGTTCCCCCCTTGGGCGCGCCGCCGAGGCGAGTCGTGAAACCCTGCGGCAGGCCCGTGCCGTGCCGACGCGGCTGCGACAGCCCGGCGCGGGCGGTCGAGGTTGCCAGCTCTCCGACCCTGAGATCCGACGTATGTATGTCAGGAGGGGAAAAAACACACAGACACAATTAATCGTCGACTCCCCAGGAAGTATGGGAAAATATGGGAAGTGGTGGGGAAGACAAAAACCCAGAACATATGGGAAAATATGGGGCATATTTTCATTTGTGTGTATTTATTTGTGTGTCCTGGGGCCATTGCCAGCTCTCCGACCCTGAGATCCGACGTATGGTCGACGCAGGTTCGGCGCTGACCCGACGCGGACTCGACGCGGACTTGACGCGAGCAGCGACACGACAAGGTCCCGAGGGAAGGGGCTCCTGGAGGCCTTTCGCGCCGTTTTTGGGCTCCAGGGGCCCCCGCTGGGCCGTCTAGGACCGCGAGGGAAGGACTCAGGACGATGGTCCCGTGGGAGGGCCCCAGGTTCAGGGCCCGTTTCTCTCAGGACCTTAGACGACATGAAGGAGGTGGGGAGTCGGCTCCACCACCTTCTACATCTCGCCCTCCCCTTCTACGTTGCAATTTCGGGGGACCTCGCTACGTCGGATCTCAGGGTGATCTCTTCAAGCCTGGCGTTTTGTCTTCGATGTCATTCTTTGGGGCCCGTTGCCGAGCCCTGGGACAGTCAAGCGTGGACCCGGGACGCAAACTCCCCCCATGGGGGGGGGGGTCTGGACCCCCAGGGTCGCGCACTGAGCGATGTCGCCAGTGCGCCGACCTGCTGAACCTCTTCCAGGACGCTCTTTGCCCTTGCCGGTGACTCTATCGTGCCCAGGCCGCAGCCCGCTCATGAAGACCGCCACCCACCAGCATTCGTAAGACAAGCATGCATTTCCATTGGCCGGCAATGCCGCTCAAGAAAGCTAAGAACTTGGACTGGACCCTGGGCGTTTTCTTAGAGCCTACTTTTCGTTGAACAGGGTCTATCTCTGGACATGGACTACTGTTTCAGGAAACGCGCGGGGGAAGTCCATTTTCTTAGCTCAGCATTTCTTGTCGGCGGCGAGCCCCGGGGGAAGTGAGAAGGAGCAGACCTTCCCAGAAGACTCGGGCGTCCCCGGGGCCCGTGAGAAATCTTGTAAGCCTTTCCCGATGACACCGCCGACTTCTGAGAAGGCCCTCTCCTTCTCACTCCCCCCCCTCGCTCGCCGCCGATCCCACCTCTAAGCAGGGGCGTGCATGGTCTAAGCTCGCCCCTCGCCCTGCTGCCCCGCTTGCTCCTGCCCTGCGCTTGGCCCGTGCCGCTGCTCGGCGCCTCTGCACTGCTCGACCGGCCCGCGCGCTGTTGGGGAAGCGGGTCCTGAGGGAGACGGGTCCTGAGGTTTTCGCTCTTTCTGTCAAGGGTGGAAAAACCACCCCGACCCCGACAATTCGCGTTTACTAAACAGCCCTGGGCGTTTACTAAACAGCCCTGCCCTGTTCGACTCCTTTTATGGGTGCGTTTACTAAACGGCTTCGCTTGTCGGGGTGCTTATTATGGGGGTGGATTTTCTGCTCTCTATTCTGGGCTCCCAGGGCCCTCCACGGGCCCCGCGGCTGTCAGGAAACGGCTCAGGAGGAGGAGCTCGTCCTGGGGGAAGGCCCTGGGGCCCAGGATTCGTGTCCCCTATGCTGAGGCACGTCTGCGCTGAACGCCCAGAGTGGCCGTGCGTCGGCCGTCGTCCAGCGATCGGCGCAATCGGAAGGAAGGCCGCGATCGCTCAAGATGGAACGATCGACGTGGTGTCGGGAGCCCGCGCGCAGGTCGTCGCGGCACGAATCAGCCGTGTCAGTTTGGTTGCCAGGAGCTCCTTTCTTCGATCTGGTTCGTTGTGAAATGTGTGTGTGTGTGTGTGTGTGTGTGTGTGTGTGTGTGTGTGTGTGTGTGGGGGAACCATTTCGTGACGTCGCCAGGAACGTGAGCGATAGTTTCTCTGGGCGCGCCGTATCTAGTGTAAGCATTGGGTTCGCGCATTTTTTAGCGTTGGGGTACTTCGATTGCGCCCAAAACGGGAGCGGCAGGAGTACGCTCGCAGAGAAAAGCCATCGATACCGTATGGGAACATACTCGGGGCACTCGTTGAACATTTCGAGTTGGCTTTCTCCCCAGGGGTTGATTTTGGGTCTTCGCAATCACACGCGTGGCTTCCGGCGTGCGCTGCCATGGTTCGACAGGCTGGGACAGCATAGCGCGCGCGCGTTGCAGGGCGAGGACTGCTACTCGCACGCGATGTCGAGGGCGAACGCTCGTACCCTGCACGCCGAAACAAGTTCCGAAAAGTGCAGCGGCGATCGGCGAGGTGGCGGAGGAGGCGGCGAGGTGCAGTTAAACCCACGGGTGCGTCGCTCTCGGGCTCGTCGCGGCCGCGGAACACCGCACGGCGCTGTCTGTCGAGCGCCCCAGCTTCCTCCTGCTGCCTGGGACCTCCAGGGGGGTATGCCAGCCGAGCCCCTGTGCCACCAATCTGGAGGCTTCCAGAGCAGACGCATGAGGCGGCAGATTCACCAGAGGCTTGGCAGCCAAGACGCTGAAGTAAGGACCACTTTGGCTTCAGGAGAGGCTCCTGCTTTCGGGCCGGTGCTCAGATCTAGGCTTGGGTGCTTGCTCGTGGTTGATCGCCGCGGGCAGAAAATCCCATTCGTTCCTGATTCAACGTTCCTCATGCTAGCACGACGACTGTGCGGGGATGGGGGCCGCCGAGGTCAAGTTCGTCGAGCTCTGATGCGGCGGAAGGAAGGTTCGCGGAATTCACGGCACGTCGAGGTGGGGCGCCAGGCCATGGGTGGGGCTCACTTTGTCTTGGGGCTCGAGACTCACACTACGATGGCCGCAGAGGAAGCAGAGGCTCGAGCGGCAGAAGTGGAGCGGACAGGCCGCCCTGGTGAAGCTCTGCTGCCACCACCAGATCACCTCCACGGACGCGGAGCTCTTGTCCACCCCCGCGCAGCCCACCGCTCAGGCCCGGGAGGCCCGGGAGGCGTCGGCGGATCAGCGGGGCAGGGGAGCGCATATACAAGGGGCCCCACATCTCCGACGACATGTTTTTTTGCAATCCGTGCGATTTTTTGCAGTCCTTGAGCGCCCTCCCTCCCTTTCCCCACCCCGCGGCCACCCCCTTCCTCCTTTTTCTTGCTCTCGCTGCCGGACATTCAGCGACGCCGTTGCCCGGCTTGCCCGAGCGCGCGTGCGGGCTGCATCTGCCGTGCTGCGACGTAAATGCGGGCCCCAAGAATATACACCACCACCACGTCGACTCCTCCTCCCACCTCTATCCTCCTCTTCCTATCCTTTCTCCTGGGGGAGGGAGGGGTTGAGGGAGGTGGTGGTGGTGGTGGTGGTGGTGGTGGTGGTGGTGTATACTTTTGGGCCCCGTATAAACAGTTTTTTGATCCCAGAGTTTTCCTCGCTTTCGGCGTCTGGGGCCCGTTATCGGGCCCTGGGGCCAGAAGCGGGTCCTGGGCGAAACACTGGCCCCAGGGAAGGAAGGGGTGGGGGCTTGGGGCCGCGCGCGGCGAGCATCAGATCGGCGGGCGTCAGGGGTTGCGCGTATACAGCCACGACGAAGAAGGTAAGGACCGCTTTGTGCTCAGGCTGGGGCTCTGGACTTGGGGCCGCTCCTCAGATCTGGGCTGGGGGGCCTATTCGTGGCCGAGGCTCGCCGTGACCAGGAAGGGCCCCTTCGTTCCTCTTTGAGCTTTCCCGTTGGTCGCACGAGGATTGGAACACATCCGCAGAGAGAGCCCGGAGAGAATCGGCGTTGCCCAGCACCGTTGGGTGTAGTGGGTGCAGTATGCAGAGAAGATGTTTTGGTTGAGGGAGGTGCAGCGTCAGGGAGTGCAAGAAACTTGGAGAGCGCACATCACATAAAGAGCGTAGAGGGTAGACCGAACAAGGAGAGGATAGAGAGTGCGCAGACTGCGGAGAGTTTACCCCCAGAGTGCAATCTACAAGACAACGCCTTCGAATGATGACGTGTTTATTTAGCCAACCTTCCTGTGTCTGTGTTGATGACTCGTTTTGCTATGATCCTTCTCCTTCTCTGCGCCGCCTTCCTTCCTATCTCCTCTTTGTTTCCTCCTCGCTTCCTCTTCGCTTCCTCTGCGTTTGTTCCTCGCTTCCCCTCCCTCGCCCTCCTGGGGTGATGTCCACTGAGCCACTGCCGCCTCTTTTGTGAGCCTTTTGGGTGTCACGCGGAGAGCGGCCTTGCACTGACCCTTCCCAGGTGGGGTCAGCCGCGCAAGTGTCTCCACTTTCATGAGCTCCTGGGAGGTCCAGTGGAGTGCGGCCTTGCCGAGACCCAAGCAGGACTTTGCCTCCCTGGGTGCTGCCCGCTGCGAAGCCGTCGCCGCTCTCGTGAGCTCCTGGGAGGTCCAGCGGATTGCGGCCTTCCTTAGGCCCAATCGGAACCGCGGATTCTTCTTGTGCGATCAACTGCGCAACTGTTACCCCCCTCTTCCGAACTGGCCCTTCCCCCACCTTCCCCCCCGCCACCCTTCCAGACCAGCCAGACTGGGTTCGCTTCCCAGGGAGGGGTTTGGGGAGGGGCAGCCATCTCACACACCGAGGAGCCCCCAACGGGTCGGCAAGTTTTCGGCGTCGCCCCTCTGCAGGCTTCCCAGTCCCAGAGCCGGTATACCCGGGTAGAGTGGGCAGATGCGAGGCCCGATTGTCCCCTCAGGGTTGCACCCGCCTCCCTCCGTCCATGGGGCCGCCGCCCCGCCTGAATCGTATGGGCTTCGCCTCTGACGTGGCAAAGGCAGCACAAGATGGCATCACGAGTGGCTCAAGCTTTGAGATCAAGCAGGGCTGGAACGGACCTTGATATTTCTGAAAGGTTCGATGGGGCGTGCCGGCCACATGCCTCACATATGTACTGCAGTGTGCTGGATTGCCGTTTTTGCGGCACAGCGGCTTTACGCTTTTCCGTTAAGCATTTGGGGTGAAACGCAGTTTCTGAAGTTTGTGTTCTTGTGGGTTGTAGTTCTTTCCTTTTGTTTCGGATCCTACAGTACGCGAGCCACGAAATTGGGACGGACCGACAAAGTGAGAAACTGGTTGTTCACGAATCCGATGGCCGACGAGATTGCTCTCGATCGTGTGCGCCAGTCCAGCCTTGGAATGCGATCCAGGAAGCGAACGTCGTCACAGGAAGTAAACATTAGTCATGCCAGCTCAAACTATGATACTGGAGGAAAACCCCAATCATAATTTTTCTAAGGGCTGTGTAGGGCTATGGGGCTTTACAGTTATAGGACCATCGGGCTAGGGCTATAGGACTATAGGGCTATAGGGCTATAGCAGCATAGGGCTGTAGGGCTACAAGGCAATAAGGCTATAGGGCTATAGGCCTATAAGGGCTATATGGTTATAGGGCTATGGGGCGATTGGGCTATAGGGCATAAGGACTATAGGGCTATAGGGCTATAGGGCTATGGGGCTATTAGGGCTATTGGGGCTATAGGGCTATAGGGCTATAGGGCTATAGGGCTATAGGTCTATAGGTCTACAGGGATATAGGGCTATAGAGCTATAGGGCTATAGGGCGATAGAGCACCCGGGCAGCCCGGGGCACCCGGGCACCCCGGGGCACCTCCGGGCACCCCTGGGCACCTCCGGGCACCCTCGGGCACCCGGGCACCCGGGCACCCCCGGGCACCCGGGCACCTGGGCGTGCGGCGAAAATCGGCGGCAAACCTAACCTAACCATATGAATCCGCTAGGACCCCTGCAGAGGCAAGCTCTGATTGGGGAACATCTGACAAGCGTATCATCGAACGCGCGCAGACAGGGCGTACCCCACAACATGTAACCCTTTTGGAAACAATGCGTGCGTGCATCAAACTCCGACACGGGGCCACTGCCGTGACGCTAATCGATCAGATCTTGGACGAAGGCGTCGTTCCAGATGGACGTTTCATTGCCGATAGGGTGCCCTAAGAATTCTTCAATCTCGTCGTCGTCACCCTCGATGACAAACGCATTCGGGAAGATGGGTCGCGGCATATGGATTTACACTGGAGCATCTGCCGAAGAAGCCTCCTCCCGAAAAGCTGGGCCAGCAGATCTGGACTAACTTGACAGAAAGATGGCCCAGTTTCTTGAGCACGTTCGCCCCTCCAGCGTCAACAGCAGAAGTTGGCCCAGGTTTGTCTTGCGACACTTGAGGGCCAGCCCGTATGGCGATCACTCTCATCTTGTGCCGTGGATCCTCCCTGTTTTTTAGCGCGTCCCGCATACACCGACACCTGGTTGTCCTTGCTGGCTCTTTGCAGCCTGGACTGTCCTTCGCATGACTTGCGTGGGTGGTCGCCCAGACAAACCAATGACCAACCAAGGAAAAGTACCCGAGCTGGAGGTTTTCGGGGGTTTCACCCCTCGGAGCCTGGGATGGCCAGAGAGCCTCCAGAAAACTGTGAACCAACTTTCGAGTTTGGTCTTTCTCGCCCCCCCGGAAAATTTTAGAAGGAACGTGGCACAACCCCAGAACAAACACCCGAACAAACGCCCGTGTCTTTTTTTCTGTTTTTTTTTTTTTTTTTTTTTTTCCCCCGCGCTCCCCAAAGCCTGGGGTGGCTGGGGAAAATCTATAGAACACAAACACATGTATAACATAACAACCAGAGTTGTTTTGTTCCGCGCCCCCCCCAGAGCCTGGGGCGGCTGGGGAACATGTTGAAAACCAGTATAACCAAACCAGAGTTGTTCTCTTGCGGGGGTTTCCCTCCCTGGGGCCTGGGGTGGCAGGATAACATTTGAACAACAAGCAAGAAACAAACACCCGAGTTGGGTTTTTCTTTGGGGTTCCCCCCCTCGGACAAAAAACGCCGAACAACTATCGAAAAGTAACAGAACACGCAATAACAAAACACAGCACACATCCGAGATCCACAGGGAAAACCACCGACAAACTCATGAAAACAAAACGCACCCCTCCCGCCAATCAGCGAAAACAAACCACAACAATTCCCGAGTTGGGAGACATTGGAAAACCTCCGAAGGACCCCCGCCGAGTTGTGTTTTTTTCGCGAGTTCCCCCCCCGGGGTCTGGGGTGGCCAGAGAACCCTCGATAGAATACAACATTCGAGTAGGATTTTTTGTCGGGGGCTTCTCCCCCCCTTCGAATTCTGGGGTGGCCAGGGAATCATTGAAGAATCCGCGACCAAAATCCCGGGTTGGGTTTTGTTTCGGGGGTTCCCGCCCCTGGAAGACACGTGCGACTCCGAAAGCCACCGAACATATGTCGAAAGGAAGCATTGAATGGGGGTTCCCGGGATGTTTATCCCGGGAACCCCCATTCAATGGGAAGATTCTAGATGTTTTCCCCCGGGATGTTTTCCCGCGGGAATCATTGAAGAATCTAGAATGGGGGTTCCCGGGATGTTTATCCCGAATTGCAAGTTTGGGGGTTTTGTTGGACCGCCCCAGGGTGGGGTGTTTTTAGTTTTTGTTTTCAGTTTTTTTGTTCAGTTTTGTTTGTTATTGTTTTTTTGTGTTTCTTTTGGGTGGGGGTTTTCCGCAGAACAATGTTGTTTCCACGTGTGGGGCCCTGGGGACCTTTCCAATCCCCCTCGAGTTCCCCCCGTCCCCTTACCCCCCCGCTTCAGGGGGGAAAACCTGCGAACAACAATCCCTTGAGTTTTTTTTTTTTTTGTTTTTTTCGGGAGCTCCCCGGGCGGTTCCAGGGAACGTGCAGACCAGTCTCCATGCGCCCCCACAAGGATTCATTTCCACTGAGGTAAGTGCCCCGTTTGGAGAACCGTCTGAAGATCCTGAAGCGTACCGAAACACCATTCTCGGGACTCCAACGCCACGAATCAACTTGACTGTTGCGTCTTGACGATCCTGAATCGTGCCAGAACACCATCCTGGGGGCATCAGCACTGCGAATCAACGTAACTGTTGCGCCCTGGCAATCCTGAATCGTTCCAGGACACCATTCTTGATA